TAGTTAGAAACCTATACACGATCATACTTGTAGTCTTGTTAGATACTACATTAGTAAATTACAGAAATAAGCTTTATTTAGTCTCTTGTATACATTTTCAAGTTTCAGTAGATAGTACATAGCTAGACACAAACAACGTTCCTTGATATCTAGCTAGCTAGCTATGATTATGCACTATATATTGGTAGATGAATAGGTAGTCTTCAAACAATTTATACAATATGGCATTTAAAAGATATTTTAATAATAAAGGTATTTTCTGACAGAGAGACATACCTGCTCTTGGAAGCACCTCTATTCTACCTCAAGGATAATAATGGGCATGAAAAATATTAAATGTGGCAAGATCACCACTAGAGAAAAAAAAAACTGTCCTTCACCTGCTGATAACAGGCTGTCTGAGCAAACTGTGAACAGCAAGGCACTGGAAAATTGACTGTCCAATTTTGCAAAGACTAAGTGGTCAGTACCTCAAAATTACTGATTTACAAAAAAGCCTGTCATATATTCTGTACAAGTAGGCTGAAGATTGGAAGCCCCAGCAACACCTAGGAACCTCTGGTGACTCTTCAGGCAGTCAACTGTCTCTGTCTTCTCTATAGTGCTGGTAGCTGTTTGTTCAATGCTTCCTATTTGGTTAGGTATCACTTTTTTTCCTTCTCATGTTTCCGATGTGGTTAAAGACTAGATAGTCATAGTTTTACTACAATTAAGCTTAAGGTATAGATAAATGTTGTAGGTTGATAGATATAAGTAGATTAGGTACAGAACTTAGTTCTCACCAAGATAGGATAGAGAGTGGATTACTTTTTGCATGATTGACAAATACAAATGGACTGGATATTGAAAATGTAATTCTTACCTGATATTTCTCGCAATTCTTATTGTATACAGTTTATTAGTGTTAGAGAAAAGGCCATTTTGTTTAAAAAGGAAAGGGTGAAGTGTTGTGGATGGTTTAGTTTATGATATGTAAACATGTTTTTTTTTAATATCCCAAATTAGAGAGGGCTTAGTTTGTCCACATATGATAAGTGTCTCCTGCAGAGCATTGTTTTTGATAGAAGGAATTACTTGAATTCTGAGGACTTTGAGGGATATGAATATGACAGCCAAGAGGAAGAATTAGCAGCTGCTTAGAAAAGTATGGTTGCTACCGGTTCTTCCTGATGCATCTGCTGTTTGCTGATTTGCTGGTTACCTGGACTCCTGAATTTCTTTATTACTGATATTGGTATTGTTCCCCCCCCCCAAAAAAAATACTCTATGACCCTACCCATCAAGAAGTAACAGAGAGTACTCTGGCCCCTGTTCCTACTCCCCTTCTTTTACTCTTACCCATTATTGAGGCATTGAAAGGGCAGTAGGAGTATTTAATAACCCTAAACAAAGTAGATTTGTTAAAAACTCAAAACTGCACACATGCTTGAATACAAAGCAAGTCTCAACAGACATAAGAAAATTGAAATAACTCCTTATATCCTATTAGAACTCTAGGGACCGAATCTGGACATAATCAACAAAAAGTTTGCAAACTCAAGGAAACGGAACAGTTTTCACAGAATGAAAACTAGCAAAGACATAGATAAGTAGAGAAAGGAAAGGCTTTCTGTAATTCAAAGTAAAGGAATATATACCATCCCCTAATATATAGGATACAATGAAAGCAGTACTAAGATTAAAGTTCATAGCACTAAATGCTGACATTAAAAAGTTTGAGAGATTTCACATTAGCAATTTACAGTACACCTGAAAACTGTAGAAGCCAAACAAATAATCAAACCCAAGAAGACTAGATTGCAAGACACAATCAAAATTGGGGCTTGAATCAATAAAATAGAAATAAAGAACAATTCAAAAATCAATAAAATAATTTGTGTGTTCTTTGAGAAAATCAGCAAGATAGACAAACCCATACACACACACACACACACACACACAAAAAAAAAAACAGGAAGAGAATATCCAAATAAATAAAAGTAGAAATAAAAATTCGAACATAATAAAAGACACCAAAGAATTTTGGAAAATCATAAGAATATATTTTTAAAAACAGTGCTCCAGTGAACTGGAAAATCTAAGAGAAAATGGTAATTTTCTTGATATGTACCACTTACCAATGGTAAATCAAGATAAAATAAACAATTTAAACAGAATATTAAACCCTAGAGAAGTAGAAGCAGTCATTAATTTTTTTCTAAGTACAAAAAAGCCCAAGGCCAGAAGGCTTTAGCACAGAATTCTCCAGACATACAAAGAAATGCCCTCATCTGGCTTCTGCAGGCACCAGGTATATACATCGTGCACAGCCATGCATCCAGACAAAATAGTCACAGACATAAAAATGTTAAAAAGAAGACCCTCCCATCATCTCCCTTTGTCTACCAGTGTGCTGTCCTCAGCTATTGAAGCTGACAGGTCAGTAGTGGTTTTCTCTTTAGTACACCTAGGGACAGGTGTCAAAGAACACTCAGTTCTGACAGGTTGCTTTGAGGTCTCTAACCACACCCTCTTCTACTGACTCAAAGAATCTGTGCAGGCTCTCCTGAGAGAAGCAGTACCTGTGGGCTCTAGGCCTGTACACCAGGACAGATTTTGCTCATAGCTGTCACTCTGTATAAGGACCTCCTGTATCTTGAATGCAGGAATAAACTTTTATATCCATGGTACCATTCTGCTGATTTTAACTAAGAATACTATGTCAATGTTTTATCTGAGTATTGGAAATCTTTGATGCTTATTTCTTGTCCCATATATTGGGTAGACATAGCCACTCATCCAGAGTATAAAAAATTCTATGTGGTGGAACAGAAAAGCTGAGTTCAGCCTTATACTCCTAAGGACAAAATGCATCTTAGACTGATATTTCCTGGTCCTCCATCCACAGTGGTGTCCATGGAAGAGGGTGCTCTGTCCCAGGAACTGAAGGCTATCAGCTTCAGATTCCTGCTTACAAGGGTGGAGGCATATTAATCAGTATCATATTCAGCTAACAGGGTTATAGTCCATTTATAATCAAGTCCAACAAAATCTAATGCACCAGGACATACTGTGGAAACTTGGTAAGTAACTAGGGAATGTTATGTTCTTTATATTATGGATAATATAACTTGAAATATTTGATCTCTTTAGACCTCATTCTCTCCCCTTACATACTTTGAGACGCTCATGGAGTGTTTGGATTTGTAAGTTCTCTTCTCCATTTGTTCAATATGAAGGAGCAGCTGTTAACCTCATGAGAACAGAGTCTGAGCTCACTGCTGTTGTCACAAGGAAAAGTTTAAAGTTTTATGAAGATCAAAGGCATATGAGAACTTTTTGGACACTGAGAGGAGCAGAGCTCCTTGTCTGTCATATTCTTGACCTTGAGATTAAGAACTTCCTGTATCCACATACAGTCTACCTCTCTCTTAAAATGTTGTGTTAGAGGTTAACAGAGGAGATATTCATGTGCTTATCATAAATTATTTAACATTTTATATCAGAAAAGTAGATGTATAAAATTATCTATGTAACTCAAAATAGAAAAATGCATACAGGATAAATGAATATTTATTTTTAATAATATTTGAGGCTTAATTGTGAAACATTAACATCAGATAAATAATTCGCTTTGTGTAAAGAATGCCATGATCTGCCTTGTAACCAGGTGATTACTGATACACATTTTTGAGACATTGTCTCCGTGTATAGATTAGATTGGCCTAGAAGTTGGTATGTACCCCAGGCTGGCCTCAAACTCATGAGTTTCCTGCTTTTGTCTCTCCACTTCTGGGAGTACAGAAGTGAATCTCACTCCTTCCCATGTCATTTCATTTATTTATTTTTCTCTTATACTTTACACATGATTCTGGCTGTATAATTTACTTCTTATATATACTTTCAGAGTTCAGTATTATGATGTCTTTGCAGCTTCTATGATTTCTCTTATCGCTATTGAATTTTTTATACATAGCCAAAATTCTCTTTCACTGTTTGGATAGCAACTATCACTGCTGTAGTATTCTATTGGTCTCTAGAAAATCAGTAAGTACATTAGGATGGCTTATTGTACTTCTGGAGAGACTTACCTGTGCACAATGTCAGAAGTCCATCCTAATACAGTCTCAATGCTGCTAATTTCTAAATTACACTAGCATTTTTATTTCTTAAATAAAAACTCATGGCCGTATTGATCTACAGCAATAACTTCATGAAAAATCTCCTTTTTCCTCTTTCATTTCTAGAGATTTAAACCCCTCTTTCAATTTCCTGAAAATTTAGGGGGGAAAGTTGTCAGTTTCTGCTAGGTTTCCAATGCTTTGAGATTAAAGTTCCTCTGATCACAGTCTTAAATTAATGTCCACTGGGATATCCACAGAGAGAATTCTGGGCTGTTCTTTGCATCTTAGTCTCTTGTTTATCTAGAAAGTACAGCCCAAATGTCTGAGGCCCTGTTCTCTGTCTTCAGTATGAGAGTGGCTTTGGAGATGAATAATGCTGAACACATTTAGCCTCAATTGTCTTTTTTCCTTCATTTTTTCTTCCATCTACCATTTCTTTCTTTTATGGCAGGCTTTCTTACTCTCTTTCACTGTTTGTATGTATGTGTGTGTGTGTGTGTGTGTGTGTGTGTGTGTGTGTGTGTGTGTGTCATTTTTGAAAATAGCCTATCATTTTCCTAAGACTGTCAGGCTGAGATAGCTCTACTAATGTTTCTACAGAAGTCTTAGTGTAAATATGTCTTGGATTTTAACCTATATATCTGCTGTTAGCGCACATAGTACTTTTCTGGCTGAGAGCTCTAAGCCCTTCTTTTTTAGTGATTGCTTATGCTTCCTGTAATAGTATTTTTGACTGTTGATTGACACCAGCTATACTCACAAACACTGCCCAGGCATTTGTTTATGTATTTGATGATTGCTTTACATGGACCCCCACAGCCAAGCCCAGTTGCTAAGAATCTATAAACCAGCCTTTGCAGTGAGAACTGAACTGCATCAGACAGCAGGGGGAGCAAGATGAAGTCACAGATCCAGGTCCTCCTATCCCTGATGCTTTGGGTGTCTGGTGAGAAACTCAAAATATGATTATCTTTCCAGAGTCATTTCTGTGTAGATAAGAAATTTAGAGAATGCCAGTCTCTATAATTCTTACATCATAATATTCTGACAAAATGATAGTACAAATATATTAAATGACTAATTTCAACTGTTTTACAATCTGTGTTTGTGTTCATATGCATGTTCATTGTGTATTCCTAATTGCAGGTGCCTGTGCAGACATCGTGATGACTCAGTCTCTATCCTCCCTGGCTGTGTCAGCAGGAGAGAAGGTCTCCATCAGCTGCAGGTCCAGTCAGAGTCTTTTAGACAGCAAAGAACAAAAGAACTACTTGTCCTGGTACCAGCAGAAACCAGGGCAATCCCCTAAGCTGCTGATCTACTGGGCATTGACTCGGCACACTGGGGTCCCTGATCGCTTCACAGGCAGTGCATCTGGGACAGATTTCACTCTCAGCATCAGCAGTGTGCAGGCTGAAGACCTGGCAGTTTATTACTGTCAGAATGTTTATAGTACTCCTCCCATAGTGCTTCAGCTTCCAACACAAACCTCCTTGAGAGCCTCACCAGTTGCCTGCAGCACACACAGCCATGGCCATGCACACTTCCCCTTATGCATGATAGCAGGTGTGACTGAAAACATGATGAAAACTTTGCAGAGCCCCTTACAAAATCATGGGTTCAATGATTTTGATGTCTTTTGGTAAGAGAAACCTTCATAAGAAAATGCAAAAAAGAACTCAGTATCATGTTTTTATTTCTTCTATAACACATTACTACAAACTCTGCTGCTTGAAATTATCTTTTTACAGTGTTTTAGTTCTGATATCCTATATAATGATGATGGTGGAACTTTTATTTCTATTTAGGGGCTCTAGGAAAGAGTATGTTTCTTGTTTTTTTTTTTAATTATAGAGTGGTTGTCTTCTTTCCTTTCTTCTTTTCTTCCTTCATTTGTGGTGGCCTTATCTGCTGCTAATTATTTTATTTTCCATAAACTTTTAAAATTTTTATTACATTTTAGTTAATTATCTTTGCTGCATGCATGTGAGCATGCATTAGTGTGTCTGAGTGTGCATATTTATAGGTACACATATGACATGGCATGATTGTGGAGGTCAGAGGACAATTTAGATCTGACTCTTTTTCTGTGTTTTTTTCTGGGGATGAAACTCAGGTCTGACCTCAGGCTTGGGCAAAAGTATCTTTGCCATGAGTTATCATGCTGTCCGTTAAAGTCTTTTATGGGTGTTAATTCATTGAATACAATTTTCATGAACACCGTGTCTTTAGAATATATCATGTATTTTGAACATATGCACTTCATTTTGCTTTCCCTTTCCTGCTATTTCTTCTTTACTGTCAGGAGTCATTCTGGGTAAGGGATTCAGGGGACATCTGGGATTTCTGGAAGGCAACCTAGATTTAATTTTTTTTTCCCCAAGGTCTACACTAGAGGTAAATCTGAGGTGGAGATTGTGCCTCTATATTTTCTTCCTCTAACTGACACCCCATTTTGCTGTGCTGCTGTTACTGTATTTCTCTAAACTATGGCATGGTTTGAAAGAAGCTTCAGTGAAATCTTTCCCTGGGTATTTACCCTTCCTGGTTGAGGAAGATCTTATGAAGATTACTGCTATTCAGATGAATTGATGATTTCATGATGCCTGATGAAGATTTTATACATTTCCTGTTTTGATTTAAATAAATGTTAGAAGTTAAGAAGTTAGATAGTTGATAGAAAGTTCAATAAAAGCCTCTGTGCACTTCCAGATGCCAAGTCCATACATCTCACCAGGCCACTGGTCATTCATCTCCCTTAACATCAATGGACTCAACTATTCAATGAAAAGACAGAACGTAAAAAAATGGATATGTAAACAAGACCCAACAATATGTTGCATACAAGAAACGCACCTAAGTCACAAAGTTAGATATTACCTGAGAGTAAAGGGGAGGGCAATGGTTTTCCAAGCGAATGGACCCAAGAAGCAAGCAGGCCTAGCCATTCTAATATCTTAGAAAATAGATTTTCAACTAAAGTTAATCAAAAGAGATGGGAAAGAACACTTCATACTCATCAAAGGAAAACTTCACCTCGAAGACACTACAATACTGATCATCTATGCCCCAATACAAGAGCACCCACATTTGTAAAAGAAACATTAATAAAACATAAACCACACATAGTTCCCCACACATTAAGAGTGGGAGACTTCAACACCCCACTCTCAACAAAGGACAGGTCAACAAACAAAAATTAAACTAAGAAAAAATAACTCTAACAGAGGTCATGAATCAAATGGACAGACATCTACCGAAACTTTCACCAAAACACAAAAGAATTTACCTTCTCAGCACTCAGGGAACCTTCTCCATAATATACCAAATAGTTGGTCACAAAAAAAGTCTCAACACATACAAGAATATTGAAATAATACCTTGTATCCTGTCTGACCACCATGGAATAAAGCTGAACCTCAACAACAACAGAAATAACAAAAAGCCTACACACACATGGGAACCGAACAACTTGTTAATCAATGACAGACGAGTCAAGGAAGAAATAAAGAAAGAAATAAAAGTATTCCTAGAATTCAATGAAAATGAAAACACGACATACCCATACTTATGGGATCTGATGAAAGTAGTGATAAAAGGAAAGTTTATAACACTAAGTGCCTTCAAGAAGAAACTTGAGACATCTCATACAAGCAACTTAATGGCTCACCTAAAAGGTCTAGGAAAAAAAAAAAAGAAACAGACCAAAGAGGAATAGACAGCTGGAAATAATCAAACTTAGGGCTGAAATCAATAAATAAATAAATTGAAGAAATAAAACAACTCAAAGAATAAATGAAACCAAGATCTGGTTCTTTGAGAAAGTCAACAAGATAAACAAACCGTTAGCCAAACTAACTAAAAGGCAAAGAGACAATATCCAAATCAAAAAAATCAGAAATGAATAGGGGGACATAACAACAGACACTAAGGAAATCCAAAAAACCATTAGGTCTTACTTCAAAAGCCTATATACCACAAAATTGGAAAACCTAAATAAAATGGACAATTTTCTGGACCGATTCCACTTACCAAAGCTGAATCAAGATCAGGTAAATCAATTAAATAGTCCTATATCCCCTAAGGTAATAGAAGCAGTCATCCAAAGTCTCCCATCCAGAAGGAACACTACCAAACTCATTCTATGGCGCCACAGTCAACTTGATACCTAAATCTCACAAAGACCCAACAAAGAAAGAGAATTTCAGGCCATTCTCCCTTATGAACATTGATGTAAAAATAGTCAACCATGTTTGTAGCAGCTTTATTTGTAAGAGCCAGAACCTGGAAACAACCCAGATGCCCCTCAACTGAGGAATGGATTCAGATATTGTGGTACATCTACACAACACAACAGAATATTACTCAGCAATAAAAAATGAGGAAATCATGAAATTTTCAGGTAAATGGTTGGAACTGGAAAAGATCATCCTGAGTGAGCTATCCCAGAAGCAGAAAGACACACAAGGTATATACTCACTCATATAGACATATAATATTGGATAAACCCACTACAATCTGTATATACTTAAAGAAATTAATCAAGAGGGAGGATTCTTGGTAAAATGTTCAATTCCCATCCAGAAAGGCAAAGAGGATGGACATCAGAAGAAGGAGAAAACAGGAAACAAGTCAGAAGCCTGCCACAGAGGGCCTCTGAAAAATTCTGCCCTGCAGACTATCAATGCAGATCCTAAGACTTATGGCCAACCTTTGGGCAGAGTGGAGGCAATCTTATGAAAGAAGTGGGAAATAGTAAGATCTGGAGAGGATAGGAACTCCACAAAGAGAGCAACAGAACCAAAAAATCTGAGCACATGGGTCTTTCCTGAGACTGATACTCCAACCAAATAGCATGCATGGATATAACCTAGAACTCCTGTACAGATGTAGCTCAGGGCACTTCAGTGTCCAAGTGGGTTCCATAGCAATGGGAACAGGGACTGTCTCTGACATGAACTGATTGGCCCACTCTTTGATCACCTCCTGCTGAGGAGGGAATCACCCTTTCCAGGCCACCTAAGGACAACAATGCAGCCACTCCTGATGAGACCTGATAGACTAGGATCAGAAGGAAGGAAAAGAAGACCTCCCTTATCTGTTGACTTGGGGAGGGTCATGCATGGAGAGGGGGAAGGAAAGGAGGGTTTGGGAGGGGAGGTGGGAGGAAACTACAGGGGGACACAAAGTGAATAAAGTGTAATTAATCAAAAATTAAACAAACGAACAAACAACAAAAAAAGAGAATGGGACCAAACCAAGCTGGCAGAGCTCTTCTGATACAGTAGAATATGAACTAATGCTGAAAAAAAAAAAAAAACTAATAAAGCGATAGATGAAATGGGATTGTTTGCCTTTTCCATCATAATAGTTGATGGCCACCCCAGTCTCAAATCTGCTGATTGTGAGAATGAAATATGCATGTTTCCTGACCCATTGCCACAGAGGCTGTCAAGATTCCTAGGGTCCAGAATGGAAATGTATAGATCAGTATATGTGGCCCATGCCTGGCTTGTATGTCAGAAATGCGATATCATCTGTGATATGTTTAATGCAGCCTCAGACATATAGGTATATAGGCTTAGTGTAGAAAACAAACATTAGTGCATAAATCACATGAATATTATTTTAAAATATTTTTATATTTAGTTTTTTTAAAGATGAAAGAAATCTGCATGTTAATGACATGGGTGTGCTTGCTTATTTTAATAAAAAAAATTCACCTTGTCTCATATTCGTAGCACAACTTCAATATACATCAGAGTAGATAAGTATTGTGAATGTATAGTTAATAATACTGAGATTCCTACTTCACCTAAACATACTGCAAAAATGGCAGAAATATGCTTAGGGGAATTTCATGAAAATTTGGAAATTCTGTTGTTTCTCCATGCAAGTCTTCCCACATATACATATGCCCACATTAGGAAGGCTGAGAACCACTGTTCTAGGATTTGCTCATATTATCCCACTCCTTCTATGTGACAATCTTTATCACAGCCCAGCTCCTTCTTGTCAGCTTTCTCTGATATATCTGATATAGATCTAGGTCTAAATCCACAGGCACATTTGCATATGAACTAAACACACTTGGGCATCAGCAGTGTCCCACAGCTCCCCAGATGTGCCCACTCACCTCATTTCTTGCTTCTAACCTTGACAGGGATCCAGAGTATCAGCAAGCCTAGGAACTGAGTACAAAGCCCATTTGAGAAGCTGAACTAAGGATTCCAGAGGAGTTGAAGAAAGGTTGCAGCTGAACTTTTACCTCACTTTGCAAGGGAGACTCAGGCAACAATATTCAAATCTGCAGGTGGGTAAGATTTGAGAGCTATAAAAATGAAGGAAGCCCATGTGATGAGGAGAGTGATATAACTATCATTCATTTTGTGATAGAAGATCAATTGACATAAAATCCCTGTTCTGTGAAGCTGTCTGCAGAAGCCCATGGTGAATATCTGAGATCACTGGAGAATACAGGGTACACACAACCATACCATCTTCTGACAGTGCCAAAAGACCAAGTTACATGTGTGTGCATGTGGTGCCTGTGAATGTGTGCATGCACATACTCAAAGGCCATAGCTCCCCTCAAGCTATAATAACAAGAAGCAAGACATCTAAGCAACAGAAGCTGACCACCAATTTTGGGATGGCAACCAATAGCCAGAGTTGTTTGTGGGTTCCCATGGGGACCCTCTGGCCAACCACTCATTTAGATGTAAACCATTCCTTGCAATGGATATTTCATTTGGAAGAGAAAGATGTCTAGGTGAGATTTTGTCTTTGTTGTTATTTTGTGATTACATTTATATTTTTTTCATGATAAGAATTGTTTGCTAAAGTAGGTTTCTATAGGATCCCTCAAATGGCCTTTAGTGCTGGCTAAATCTTCCATTGTTCTCTCTCTTACCTTCATTTTTCCTTACCACATAATCTCGTTAAACGTGGAGGAATTGTACTGGTGCCTAACTAGAGCCATAACCCCTTCTGACTACTGTTCATTGTAGTGAAAGATACTCTGCATTTGATCAGAGGAAAAAAGTAACCACCAAGTCACTTATAAACCTGTGATCTAGAATGATTTAGAACTAACTGATTTTATTCTAACTGGATTTAAGGCCCATTTCATGAGATGGAACCCATGCCAGACTGCTTAGGTGGACAAAAAACTGAGAGTAGATTGGCCATGGACCTAGGGGAAACCCAGATAGTATAGTTTTACTAAAGGAACAGAGCAATGAAAAGACTCCCAATGACATTCTTTTCTACCCATAGATCAGATTCTTGCTCATGCCTCACCAGAGAAGCTTCTTCCTGCAGTAAATGGGAACTAATATGGAGATTTACAAGTAGACAATGTAAAACAAGTGAGAGACCTCGGATAATTCAGTCCTAAATGGGGTGTTGTCATTAAACTCTCCCCAGAGGGCTCAGGGATCTCTGCAGAAGAAGAGGCAGACGGATTTGGAGAGCCAGAAGACATGGATGACATCAAGGAAACAGTGTCTTCCAGACACAGCAGGACCAACGCACATTTGAACTCTCAGAAACTGGGGCAGCATACAAACATCTAGTACAGGTCTAAGCTAGATGGGGTCCCAGGGGTCATTCTCAAACATTATTTTCTTTGAAAGGCAATATTCTTTTTTTAATTTTAATTTAATTTTATTTATTATTTATTTTATTTATTTTATTTTTTATTTTTTTATTAATTACACTTTATTCATTTTGTATCCCCCCATAAGCCCCTCCCTCCTCCCCTCCCAATCCCACCCTCCCTCCCCTTTCTTTACTTTGTATCCTCCCTCTACTTCCCTCCCTCCTCCCCTCCCAATCCCTCCCTTCCTCCTTCTGCACACATGCCCCTCTGGAAGTCCACTGGTAGGAGAGGGTTTCTTTTTCTTCCTTCTGATCCTAGTCTATCAGGTCTCATCAGGGGTGGCTGCGTTTTGTCTTCCTCTGTGGCCTGGTAAGGCTGATCTCCCTCAGGGAGAGGTGATCAAAGACCAGGCCAATCAATTCATGTCAGAGACAGTCTCTATTCCCATTAGTATGGAACCCACTTGGATGCTGAACTGCCATGGGATACATCTGTGGAGGGGTTCTAGGTTATCTCCATGCTTGGTACTTGGTTGGAGTATGAGTCTCAGAAAAGACCCGTGTTCAATTTTTTTGGTTCTGTTGCTCTCCCTGTGGACCTCCTG